TCCATATATTTCTTTTTCTCCTGTTATTTTTAGGGATTGCCATTTTAAGAATTAAATTTTGTTTAATAATTTTGTGAAACATTTACCCTATTCCAAAGCTGAATGTATAAAACAATAATTCTAAAAGAATTCTGTCCTCCCTTTGTCTGCAGCTACCGAGGCTATGTAACAAGTTAACCCCAAAGCTTAGTGGTATGCATAACCCTTTATTATATTCACAAATTATGTGGGTCATAATTTAGACAGGTCACAACAGGAATATGAGTTAAATGTTTTTTGACACCTGGGCCCTCAACATGTCTCAGTCTGTCTTCTGTTGCTGAGAACACAATACTACAGACTAGATAAGGTATAAAGAACAGAGGTTGCTTTAGCTCACTGTTTTGGCGGCTGAAAATCCAGGGTGGTACTGGCTCTAGTAATGGCCTTCTTGCTGGTAGAGTCCCACTCTACTCTTGCTGGTAGAGTGCAGGGTGTCACATGTCCCTACTCACTCTCTCTCTCTCCCTCTCTCCCTTTCCTTCTCTTCCCTCCTCTCCTCTTCTTTCTTCCTTTCTTTCTTATTTTTTTTTGTACCAGGGATCAAATTTAGAACCTTAGTTCTAAAGTCACCAGTATGATAATGATGGCTCCACTGATGCCCTTTGTCATCCCAATTGCTTCCCAAAGATCCCACCTCTAACCTCCATTGTCCAAATCAATTCTCCTGCTCTTAGTACCTTGTCATGGGAATTAGACTTTGACCTGACAAACCATATTGAAAGGGGACAAACCATATTGAAACCACAGCTCAGGTGGAAGCATCAAAGGCTAAAAATACCCAGAAGCAGCTTGTGCTGGCTCAGTTCCTCTCCAGTAAATTTGCTCTTTGACCCCTTGTACAGGTTCACTTGCTTCTGTCTATGGCCTGTTGGCTGGTTTTCTCAGTGTGAGCATCCTAACATGAAATCCAATGGAGGCTGTATGACCTCCCAAACCACACAACATCCCTGTGCTGTGATCTCAATTCAGACATCCAAAAACCTCATCCCAATTCACTGCAGAACAGTGAAGAACATGGTGTCTTGGTGGAACAGAGGTAAAGTTCTACAAGAACATGTGGGGCTGGAAAAAAAAATGATATGGCAAGTTTGGAAAATACAAAGTTCTAGGACATTTAGTTAGTTTTTGGTATATCCTTCCATTTGAAAAGTTTTAAGATGAGAGAAGCAAGGAAGAAGCTTACAGTAACATTCCATTGTTCAGTCATGTGGGAAGAGAGACATAGGAAAGACAGCGAGTTGTGGAAGGCACAAACGCCAGGCTCTAAGAGAGAAGAAGATGGGGCAAGAGTGAGGAAAGACCCTGGTACACTGCTAGCAAGGGTGCTACATTTCTCCATCTTCTTGGGGGAGGAAGGAGGAAGTTTATTCTTGTTTGAATGTTTGGTTTTTTAAAAATTTACTTATAAAGAAGCAGTTACAATGGTAGGCTTATACTCAAAGTGAACACAGCTTTCCTTTGCAATGCAGCTTCCTGTGAAACACGTCTGTGCTGTGTGGGCCGTCACATTCAGAGGGAACACCACACAGTGTGGGGGGTTTTGGTGTGCTAGGGTCTCTCCCTACACTCACAATCATACCCTGAAGCCTCGTGTTTCCTAATGAGGAGACAAAAACCCAGAGGGGAAGAATCTAACAGCTTGAGGAGCATTTGATGGCTGACTTCAAAACAAATGCTCCTCCCAGTATGTTTGGGGATTACTTATATACTTAAAACTGTTAACCCAGAAATATTTATAGACTACACATTATATTAATGCAGTATTTAAAAATAGTTAATATAATATTAAACTATTATTTGTATTTCGAGAGTGCTTATTTAAAGGAAAACAGCTCGGTTATATGGCTGTTCATTTTTCTTAAGATAGATACTTTTAAAAACAGATCAAATACACAACCTTTTCTAATGTCTATGCATGAATGCAGAGCAGTGTGTTGGGGTTTCCTCATACATGTGCATGTGTATGAGTAAGCTCATAGTTTTTTCTTTTCTTTTCCTTTTTCAGAATAAATATCCATCCATAGCAGGAGTCAGATATATTACAGAGAATATATTTCTTGAGTGAAAATTTGGTGATGGCTTCTTGGCCCTAAAGCACAAAACTTGATATTAAAGAATAATGATAACGTATTTCTTTATCTTTCAGAATATTATGCTCTTTGATTTAATTTATCCTTTTCTGTTCCAAAAAGTTTCTTCCTTGTGGTTCTTGTTGTTTTAGTGACATCTTCAAGGAAATAACTTACACTGTGAGAAACACTTATCTTTTCCATTTCTTTTTTATTTTTCTCATATTGTCATAGCCATAGCTCAGAATGAAACAGTTCCACAAAGTAAGGGCCACAGCTGTATCAAGCCATGAGCAGCAATGAATAGGAGCACAGGAAAAGCTCATATTTCTTGAAGCTTGTAAGTGTTGCAGTTAGTCATTGAGATTCAGAATTGTTGGCTACTGCAGCATTGCCTGGCATACACTGACATGGGCACCAGAAGCCAGGAGTTAGAACCAAGAAGACATGGTGTCTTGAAAGCATCTGTACCTCTGAGATCTACACATTGATGGAAGGACATCTCTTCATCAAAATAGTTGTGGTAGCCTGTTCCCTGCCCCACTCCAAAGACATGCTTCAGAACTTGCTAATTCAATCTCTTAAGCCTCATAATTAGTACTTCTTACAATGTTTTGTGGGGGCCAATAAAATAACCACTCAGTTCCTGCCCACCTCCTTAATGCCTCTGTTCCCATGAAAGCTGGCCAGCCTCCGGGGCCTTTGCCCAGCCTATGCCTCAGCTGCCTCTTTCTTTTCCTCTCTTTCTTCTTTGTCACACAAACATTTATCAAATACACAATCTTCATAGGGCTTTGTTTAAGATCTTGTTGTGTGGATAGTATGGATAGACATTCCTGGTTCCCTACCAGGTTTGGGGGGTAGAAATCTTGTACATATAGAGGCTCCTTTTTAAAAACAGAAATTCAAAAATTATGGATACAAAATGAGACACAAGGTCTTGAACAGGCCCTTGTAAGTGAGACGACTTACTTCACAGTCAATGCACTTGCTGCAGGGGAGGAGTAATATGTGACAAGATGACAGGAAACTCTCAATGATGGTGAATTAGTCACTTTCCCATTCTGGGGCAAAATTCTCAACATCTGAAGTTTAAAGGGGATGTTTATTTTGGTTCACGGTTTTCAGAGTATTCAGTCCATGGTCAGTCAGCTCTAAGGCAGAAATGGCCTAGTGGAAGGGCACTGGTGGAGGAAAGCTATTAACCTTCTGGAAGCCAGCAATATACCCTCCAGAGTCACAGGCTAAGGGTAGGGACACATTTCTTCCTACCAGGCCCCAGCTCCTAAGGGTCCATTTAGCTATGAATTCAATAGATCAATCCACTTAATATAGTGCTGTCTTGATCCAATTACCATCAGAATGCTCTATATCTGAACGCATGATACTTTTAGGGGACATTCTATACCTAAACTGTAGCATAAGGAGAGCTATAATGCCAATAAACAGGGCCTTTGAACAGGAAATGGGTGGTCAGAATGGGGGTCACAATGGTGAATTTTATCTAGGTCCTATGTATTAGTCAATTTTTCATGCTTCTACTAAATGCTTGACATAAATAGGTTAAAGGAGGAGAAATTTATTTCGGCTCATAATTTCAGAGGTTTGAGTCCATGGTCAACTGGCTCCAAGGCAGAAACATCACTGCAGAAGGGCATGGAGGAGCTCAGCTGCTCAAATCATGGCATCTGAGAAACAGAATATAGGGGTAGTGTGACAGAAAGGAAGAAGCCAGCAGCCATATATAGTCCTTAAGATCATGCCACCCAGACATGCCCAAAAGTGTGCTTTACTAATCCTCTAGACAGTTATCAAGATAGTCACAGGCCTGGAAGCATGGCTTATTGGTGGAGTGATTGTCCAGCACACACAAATTCCAGGGACCCATGCATGCCCCAGCACTGTAAAAACAAAATAAGTAACAAACAACAAAAACCAGAGTACTGTTTGCAAAATAAACAAAAACTAAAACCAAAAAAGAAGACAACTTTTAAAAAATCCCTTCACTCTTTGGGCTCTGGAAAATGGCTTGCTTAGAGGGACGCTCCTTCCTACATGATCTAGATTAGCATCAAGGAGGCCTTTATCTACCTAGAACAAGTTAGACACTGACCCTCCAAATTCCCATTCTTTGTCTCCTCAGGGATGGGAAGAACTCATGGTTTTCAGGGATGAGTTCTTGGTGCCCAGTGTGGATAGCTTGTGGCCCAAACCTCGGCCTAGCTCTTTCCTGTCTCTCGTCCTCCGTATAGCCCCTTTGTGCCAAGCCTTTGAGATTTGCAGGCCTTGTTGTCATTGTCCCTCTCACTAGGGCAATACCCTATTCTCCTCTTTAGCCCTTTCTAGTAACTCTTCTCCTCATGAAGTAGGACTTGGTTTTTGTTTGGTAGAGGTCAAAATATTTGAAGAGATATTTAAATAGGACCATGGTTTAAGGGAGAAGTGGGTTTTGTGAAGTGGTTTTGCTTTTTAAAATGAGTATTTTTAGCAGAAGAGAAAAGAGAAGGAAGAGCTCCCTCAGTGGGAATGTCCCCTTGTTACTAGAGACAGGAGTCAAAGAAACCAGAGAAAACAGGAGCTGGGTCAGGGTGAAGCAGAAGAGGCCTGGACAGCATGTTCCTTGTCCATTGCACAGATGGTATTTATTAAGCATCTGCTGCGTGCTACCCATAGTGCCTGAGAGTGGGGCCTCAGGGGTGTGCAAAACAGACACCAGCCTCAATGTGCAGTCAGCTGGGAAAGACAGATGTTACAGGAATAATAGTGTAACTATTTTGAACAGTGATAAGTGCTATTTGGGCAATGTTCACACCGCTAGGAGAGCATGTTACAGGCCCACTTTATTCACACGGAAGACCCCAAGGAAATCAGTTTTACTAAAAAATGCACCTGTGACTGTCCACCAATATGGTGTGGGAGGGTCGGGGTCCAGATCAGAGTCTAATGCCTCAGCAAAGGGGGATGACTCCAGGGTGGGAGGGTGCAAAGGCGGGGCTGGGGAGGAAGCCTGGGCGCCTATGGACCCTTGCCACATCGCCGGCACACTTTCACGACCAGCACACTTGAACCCCAGTTCCTGCTAGATCCCCAGGGGTTCTTCTCATATCTCACAGGGAGGTCCTCAGGACAGGTGGACTAGGAGCAGAGCGGAGGGAGGTCTCATCCAGCGGCCCACAGCCGACTTAGTCTCCAGGGTGGGACCTAACCAGACCCCGGGCCATCTCCGGGCCAGGAGCGGAGGGTTGCGGTGGTCAGGCTCCACATACACGGAGCGCTGTTTTGTGAGGATCAAGTCTCTAGTATCCGTGGGTGAGGCTTCAGGACAGCGTGAGGTCACTGCGGCGGGCTGGCCCGAGGCCGCAGGTTTGTCCTAGGTGGTGCCGTGAGTGGCCTCGGGCCTCACGCCCGGCGCTCTCATATTCCCCGCAGGTGGAGGCCACAGACGTTGGAACTCTGCTTAGGCCGCTCGCAGTCCCTCCGGTGCGCGCCAGGGGGGAGAGCGGGCGGGAGGCTAGGGGTGTGGCTTCGTGCGAGGGGCGTGTCTATCCGGGGCGGGGGGCGGAGGCGGTGTCTGTCAGG